TGAAGTGCCTTTTTTCCCTCCACCTGAACCAATCCTCATGTAACCCTCTCTTATCTCTATTAAGGTAGCGCGACTCAGGGTTACGAATGACCACAGTCACCAATTCTTGTCATGTGTCTTGCCCATGTATGTCTGATCTCTGAACTGTGTGTTCTGAAACTCTAATTTCCCTCTGGGATTAATAAAGTATCTTTGATTGATTGATTGATTGAATGCAGGCAGATCCATTGGCCTCTCGGAGGGCTGGCACACGGAGTCTTCCCGTGTGCCAGCCGGTCGGTTCCTAGAAACGACCTCATGGGTTGGACTCCCTTCAACAGTTACTTCATAGGATCTGTGAGCGTTTTCTCACAGAGAAACAATGAAAGAAGCTTTAAATCATCACAACACCGAGGATAGAAGTCCCTCTTTTACAGATCATTTGTTTTTGGAGATATTTTCAAATGTTCCACAGAATCCACCCGAGTTAAAAGTTCAAGAAGCTAAATCCGGTCCTCACACCCTGGCATCGTCCCGGTCTGCCCACAACCCTCAGTGCCAGCAGGAGGTCGGGTGATACGTTCTAGGGGGCGCTGTTGATCTGTTTTGCTACACATGTTCAGTAGAATAAACTCAATCATGTCCAATCTGATGCTGAACTTAGACAAAGTTACTGTTTACATGTGTTTTTGATTAAAAATGGCCGACTTGCTGTTGGATTTAGGGCTGGCGTGTGCCATGTGTGGGGCATTTCTAGAATGATGGAATTTGCTGCCTGGATAAAAATCACTTTTATAGACTAAAAACGTCACAACTGTCCGTGATAACCGGATAGGCTTCGTTTTCCAGAGGGACTGAAAATGTGCAACGTGACTTTGCATTAATAATTAAATAATAATAACCTGAGTGTTGTCTCACCTGGCCTCACCACAGGACCACGCACCTGTTGTTATCATCCCAGTAGCACAACTACTCGATCTCCAACAGAAAAGAGCATTCTGCCCCTCCAGTTGTCCCGTTTACACATCCTCAGAGAGGATTTAAATCAGTTCTGACTCTTAATGCTCTTACTTGTGTTTATTTATCATTCTTATGCTATTTTGATCCTCCTTTTAAAGTCTATGATGTGTTTTATATAGTGTTCAGCACCCTGGCCTTCTGTCACGGATGTGGAAGGTGTTATACAAATGTATTTTATTGATTGTCTAAAGTCCCGTAGTCATCCCACACTCGTGAAGTTCATCTGAATGTGACCCATCCCTGTGGGGAGCGGTGAGCTGCCGCTGCGGCCGCGCTCAGGAACCCTTTGGTGGTTTCACCCTCAATCCATCTCTAAAAGCTGAGCAGGGAGACGTCGAGTCTCATTATCAAAGTGTTGGGTATGACTCCACCTGGACTTGAACCCTGATCTCCCAGTCCCAGGGCGGACTCTACCACTAGGCCACTGTTTCAAACGTGACAGCAAACCGTCTTCCTGCTTCAGCCACCAGCCAACATCTCACAGGGCTCCATTTAGAAGCATCAAAAGATGTGAAAAGCCTCTTCTGCATCTCTGCCAACAACAGCTGCCCACAACCGTTTTACAACTTCCTAGTTGATGTAAAGAACTACAGATTCCGGCCTGCAGCTGGAGCTTGTTGCACTTCCAAAAAACACAGATAATCTCGTAACCTTTGATTTATTGCAGTCTGCACAGCCCCCGCTTCGTGCTTCAGAGTGGACACTATCTGTTCGCCACAGCTGATCTGAGAGCAGATTTTCACTCCTAATATTATAGATTTGGGTTGTTTAATCCTCAAAATAACAGTCGTTTGTGGACTTAAACAGATTTAGATCTCCGGTGTCAGTTTCTGACTTTCTCACCTGGTAGGTTTTACATGACATCACCTGCAGCAGCCGTGTTTTCCAGGATGAATGAAAGATTGGACATTTTTAGGAAAGCAACAGTCTTAAACAATCCCAAGCTCCGGCACTCCGTAGGGGTCCGTGCTGTAAATGAGCGTACTGCCAAGTTTGTTGAGCACAACTTTTCCATTAGAGACGCAGATTTAGCGGTCGTAGCCTCGAAACAAGCATCTGGTCCCCATTAACAGCGCTGTTAGGGCAGCTTTGACACAATGATGACTTAAACTGGCCTATGATGTCATCGGCTGACAAACCGTCTAGCTCTGTAAATACAAGTCAAGTAAGAAACAGCTTCGATTCTAACCATAATCAGCTGCCCCACCTACCTTTACCACCCATACCTCGTTCTCCTGGAACCAGGACGTATCCACGATGATGTCGTCCAGAAGCCCCGCCCCCAGTGCTGACGTTCTCCAGCATCCCCTCCAGATAGGGACTTTTCATTAGAACAAAAACAAGTGGTATCAAGTAAATGTGCACACAAATGACTTTATGGAAACAGCATAAAAACACAAAGTACACGAAGATTCAACGTTTTTAAGAGAATTTTGCAGGACGTTTGCTCAAATTCTGCTCAGAAGTTTTAATTTCTCACATTTCTGACCTGCATGAGTGTTGCAGATAAAAATGTGAACATTTTATGTCTCTAACTGGCTCCCATCGCTTTTCTTTAACCTTGCTTTAACCAGATGAGTCGCTACAGTTGCAGGTCTGCTTTTTGGTAAACGCCACCTTCCCAAACTGCCGCAGTCTGCAGCTGATGGTGCAAGCACACCTGAATGACAGAGTCTCAGTGACTCACTGCCAAAAACAATAACAGGAAGCTGCCATTTCCCACCTACTGAGGGTCGGAGCTTCTCGCTGCACATCTTAAGACTCCTGGGATGTGAAACCCATTTCCTCTCAGCGGGACGCCACTTCTCCCTCTTTCATCCGTCTTGCTCTGGAATAAAGAATGACGTTACATAAGCGAGGGGGAAGGATCCCCACCTTGGTGAGTGAGAGGCACAGTGCTGAGAGCCAAGTAGACTAAATGAAAGTCCAAATATGATGAGTGGGAAGAGGGAGGCCTGCTGGGTGTGCAGCTGCAGGGTTGTCGTTTCCAAACTCACAAATCCACATCGCTTCACTCCTGTGCCGAGGATCTGAAACACTCTGGTGGCGTTTCGCAGCCACAAGTCAGATTTATCAGGCATTTTTCTCTTTTAGCCTCTTGTCCATAACTAACTAGTTACCGTAAAGATGTGCACATACAAGTTAAAGCGAATGCCGTGTTATGGGGGTGGTAATGTCTTTTCCTGCTAAGGTTGAGAAGGTGAAGGCTCTTTCTTCTGTTCGGCCTCTGGAATTCTCATTTCCTGGTCTGGTTTTCCATCCAGCAACTCCATCTACTCATCCTTCCAAGCCAACATTTATTCTCATGGACCGGAAAAAAGAAGACAAGGATGGATGACAGGAAGTAGGAATGTGGAAGAGATGACAAACAGGGAGGTGTTTCAGCAACAACTCGAGTTTTCATTAGATAATTAGTTGCACCTCATAGTTCATTAGACACGTCTCTCCATGATGAGCTCAGTGGGGAAATTCAAGAGCCTCTCCAAAGCGAGGTGGGTCCTCTGAGGAGAACGGATGAGCTTTCATGGAATCTCTCCAAAAGTTACAGACATACTTCAGTCTGGAGAGGTGGCTCAAACGTCTGGTGAAGCAAACCGCAGAGAATCCAGAACCAGAGCTGTCTAACGCCACTAGAGGCAAGAGTGCAAATAAAGATCTAAGTTTAATACAAAACATTTTACGATCTTTGCACAAAATCCATCTCACATGATGTGAGTTCAGCTGTTTAATTCTTGACGTTTTCAGTACCTTCCAGAATGAGTTGTCAGGGCTTTGTCACTTTTAAGAAAACAAGCTGAGGCTGGCCACGCCCACCCATCTCCCACTCAGGCTGCTATAAGCTGAGAAGCTCTGATTTCTGGGAGGGGCTTGGAGCAGAGCTGCTTTTTGCACGTGAGAGGTAGCTTGCTTTAGACATAATTCCTGAAACCAAAATATTTTATCCATGTTTGGAGCGTTTATAACAGCAGTAGAGTCCCACATGACCACACAAAAGAATGCAACGGGTGAGTTTTGCATAGCCCCCCCCCCCTTTAAACATGACCCCGTACCCTTCAGAAATACTGATTAAACCACTTTCAGAAGCTTTAAATCTTTAGTCCAACACATAAAAAAAACCTGATTAGTGGCATTGTCCTCTTCCTGAAAAGAGCAAAGACATCGATAAAAAACAAGAAGCTCAGATATGATTGAAAAGGGAGTTCTCAGATTCCCACGACTCATCCGTTTGATGTCATGAAAGCACCGGAGCAGGGGCGGCGTTAGGCCCGGCTACTTGGGCTGAAGCCCTGGATGTTTTATGAAAATCCCCGGATCTAAATCGCGGAAGTAACATGCAGTACCAAAGTCCAACAGAGAGGGAGCAGCTGGCAGTAGTTTGTATACATCCTGCCTGAGCCTCCACCACTGAAGAAGAAGCCCTTCAGCAGCCGGCTTCTTCTACACTCTCTGTCTGAAACGCATGAGTGAAGATGGACATAAGGACGTTTTTTAGACCAAAAGTACGGCGACAGAACCCCAGCTTTGATGAGACTGGTGCTGACTCAGGTTTGTGAGTCTTATTAGAAAATATTTGTTGTGCTGCTGGTTTGCCTAAAGTTAGCTTATCAGGTAAAGTTGTTGGAGAAAGAAAGGGAATATTTACTATCATCTCACACTAAACACTAACAGGAACAATACTCTGCCCTGAATATGCTGAATATGTAGCTTCAGATTAAACATTATGTGGTACAAGACATATATGATGTTGACTAGTGTGTGTGTGTGTGTGTGTGTGTGCGTGCGTGCGTGCGTGTGTGTGTGTGTGTGTGTGATAAGCCCCGGATCTTCTTCAGTCCTAAATCTGCCCCTGCACCGGAGCCCTGTAAAACAGGAGGGACGACTATTTCATGACAATCAGGATCCTCTGACGGGTGACGGCGCTCTGATTAGATGAAGATCTCCAGTTTTGAGCCCCAGAAAAGCACAAAGACAGAAAGAGGACGGGCGCCAACACGCAGGACTGTCATTCAAATGTGGCTTTTTATTATTACTGCTGAGAGGCATACATCACAGTGCAAACCGTTCTTTAGAAAAAGTACAATACCACTGTCACGATGGGTGCTAGTAAATCCTCGGTCCTGCAGGGTGAGGCTTGCTCGGTCCTGCAGGGCAGTGCTTTCCAATGACACCTAAAAAAAGACAAAGCAACAAACTGTGGCCTGGTGACGACGTGCTTTAGCACCCAGATCACAAGATGACGCCAGATGAATTTAGAGTACATATAAATATATTTGACACCAGTGTGGCTGCAGCCCCCCATTAGTGGAAAATTGTGATTTATTTCTGCTCAGCAACAGAAAAACAAAGCGATGGAAAGAAAACACGAGGGCTACAACACAATGAGGCGCGGAGCAAAAACAGGGAAACAAAAACGAGCCAGTGCACGAGTAACAATGAGTGGTATTTGTCTGCGTACAGTACGCATGAGAACGCCCGGTGTTACTGCAGCTCCCTCCCCCTACGCCCCGTCATGCCCCCGTTCCCCCTCGCATGTGGCTTCTATTAGCGCGGAATGAGGGTCGGAGGAGCCGGCGTTCCACTAAATGATGTCAGCTCAGACTCAAATCTTCAACATGGCAGAAAAACAAGAGCAGGGTCAGCATTCCTAATGCTGAAGCTCCCTTCTGACAGGGACAAGCGGGAAACAACAGGGAAAGGCGGAGTTAAAGAATGCATGCGAGCGTGTCCTTGTGTAAACTGAAGCTGGAGAGCCTCAGGAGCAAAGAGCTGCAGAATGAAAACGGAGAATACTCCAGCGGTGGAGTTAGCAGAAGGCTGCATCCAGACAATCACAACATCCATAGACATACAAGCTACTTTTTTGGCTTTAAGCTGAGGAGGAACGCTGGGAGAAAGTTCAGAACAGTTGCACAAAAGAGGTTTTCAGTCATTGCTTTGCTGCAGCGACGCCGCTGGGCGAAGCTGCGAAGACGACGGACCTCAGACCTCGCTCCCGCCCAGGCAGGCAGCGCCTCATCCGCCCAGAGAAAAGCTGTGTTCAGTAGACATGTTTGTTTCGCATGAAAAATGTTTTTGTGGGGCTTCACATTATGTTCGCGTGTACATAGAAAAGGGTAAAAGCTAAAAAGTACAGAATACATGAAGCACCACGGATTAAAACAGTCACAACGATCCGCTCGGCTCTGACGTTGCATTAAAGGAAATACTGAGTTTACATAAATGCTGCATACAAATGATAATACTTTAAGGTTCGGATTTTCTGACTAAATCACAATAAAAGTGGGAAATAGCACCGGGTTTCGGCATCTCTGACCTGAGAAAACTTTGTGAGACATCGAAGAGGTGGCTGGTTTTCCACTAACTTCCCTTTCCTGCTTCTCAAAGGCGACTGGTCCCGTTTTATTTACTTTTTTTATTTTTACACTTCAGAAGCCTCATCGAACAAGGAAGGGAAGTTCTGTCCATCCTGTTTTGAGTTTACGCGTCGCTACAGGAGTAAATCCACGGAGTGTTTGTCGGCTTGCTGCAGGAGGGTTTACAACCGAGCCGCGGACTTGTGCAACCAATTGAAACAGTCAAAAACACGACCTCCAACCCCTGATGAAGGAAAAAGAATCTGAGAGGTTGTTGGGTCTGTTGAGGTTAACTGTGGCTGTGGATCAGTCGCGTCTCCTCTCCTCTCTGATGTGGTCGTTTGTGTGGGGGTGGGGTGGTCCTGAGGGTTAACCGTAACGGGTGTCCGCTTTGTGTCGCTTATGAACGTCTTCCTGTTGGAGACAGACTGGACAGCAGGAGCCTTTTAGCTTGACGGGATGCTTGCAGTCGAGTGTTGGACAAGACTCCACGAAGCAGGTCACCTGGGCATCCTGAGGGGGGCAGCAGAGAGGATGCGTCAGGACAAGTGACAATATGGTGCTCCTTTAACTCATTCACTGCCAAATTAGCATTTTTTTTACTGTGTGTGGGCGTCGGACGAGCCCCCGCGCCGTGAGAACAAACATCTCAGCTCTAAAGCCGATCTTCATCCGCGTACGTCACACGTCGTGATCAGGAAGCAGAACATCCATGTGTCAGGAGATCGTTTTGGGCCGCTGCTGTAAAATAAGTGAGGCGCGAACCGGAAAAGCTTCTGCCGATCACAATTCAACAACGGATTATGACAGAACGGATAACGCTCGAAATGCGCCGATTCTTCCTGATGTAAGAGGTGAGTCTCTGCTTTGTTTTGGTAGTTTTGGCGTCGACATCATCCTAGCGCGCAACGTTCTGTGACTCTTAAAAAAAACCCAGTAAAAACGGCGAGAAACGCTGGCTGTGAACGAGTTAAAGGCTAAAAGGTTCGTTTTGGAGTTGATTTGAACTGTTTTCTGGCTTTTAAAGGGTGACGAGGCAGGTCTGGCTCCCGTTTTTAACATCTTAACAGATGAAATGCACCCTCAGGCTTCATTAGTGTCTACAGGAGTGAGTCATCACTAACTTAAACAAATCAGCTGTGTTCATGATCCAAAACAGGCGTGGGGAAGCCCGGTCCACCGAGGGCCGGTATCCAGCAGAGTTTAGCTTCAACTCTGCTTCAACACACCTGATTTCAATCAGCAGGCGATTAACAGGCTTCTGCAGAGCCTGATGAGCTGCTGAACAGGTGAACCAACCGCTGAATCAGAGGTGTTGGAGCAGAGACATGCAGGACCGGGGTTCCCCACGCCTGATCTAAAACCTGCAGGAAACATGCTGGAAGCGAACTGCAGCGCCTGGTTTGTCTGCTCAGTTGTTTTTTAAAGTCCAACAGACCGGACTGGCACTCTGAAGTTGCAAGTGGAGCATTCTGGTCACAGGGGGTGATGGGGCTGGGTGGCTTTTCATTAACCCTAAAGGGTCATTTTAGCACATACTGGCTCAAGAAAATGATTTAAAACTATGAAAACGTTGCAAAGGATCCCTTTAAAAGCTTCACTTTGTCATTCTCTGGAAACCACAGAGAATCGGACGTGAGAGATCAGAGGCGGCGAGGTTCGGAGTGCAGCTGCATCCCAGATGGAATAACTTAAAAATGGAGTGTGGCAGGTGAACGCACCCCGATGCCAGGAAACCAAAAGGGCAGAGGGAAAGAAATCGATGGGCAATAAAACAGACGAGCACCCCACAAACAGACGTGGCCGCGTGTTTATCTGGTGTGGTGTTTGACGCTTTCTGGGTAAAACATACGCTGCATTCACACGTAGAGCAGGGATCCTTTCGCCACCGTTCGCCATCGGTTCGCTCACGACCCTCGCCATCAGTGCAGTCGGTCTTGTGCAGTCGGGCTTCGAGTCTTTTAATCTGCAAAAACAACGAGGAGAAATAAAGTCAGCGTGGATTCGAAAGATCCGCCGTTAACATCTGCATGAATCACACGCGCCGAGAAGCTCGGTTTGCAGAAGAAACAGCAAAGATCTGAAACTGTTTAAAAGTTTATAGAAAGCAGAACAGGAAAATAATTGTTTTTAAAACGATAATTTCAGGAGTAAATAAATAACAATTACAAGAAAATGTAAGATAAAAAGTTGAAAAGATGCTAAACAATGTAACGGTATGAAATGACTGTTTTCCCTCTCCGCTGACACAGAACTAGTCTGCATGAGATACGGTCTCAAGCTCTCAGGCATTTGTTATAAACTGCTTCTCTCCAGCTCAACAGAAGAACGAAGAAAGGACTCTCTCTTTTTAATAAGTCAAAGAACTCTATTTTAATAAAGCTAATCAAACAAAGTGTTCGTCAATAAATAAGTTGTGACCAATCTGTGAAATCAAAATATTAATTACTTTATTATAATCCTATAGAATATAATAAGTAATATGACTTTAAATGTTTCCACTAGGACTGATCTCACGTAGCGTTAAGACATGACACGTTGCTTTTACTGATCCAATCAGAATCTGCCAGATCTGACGGAGGCGGGGTTTTGGTGGTGTTTGGTAAATCTGTCATCTTTTCATTCGACCATAAACCAAAACATCCAAAGTATAAAACTATGCCCTCGTCATCTTTAACGCCAGTTCAAAGCGTTCTAGAGAAGTTGTCGGAGTGGCCAATCCGTGACTTTCCTCTTCAGCCGAAAGAACCAACGACAAGCTGGATAAAATCTGTTGCTGTTCCACCTGCTGCAACGGTTCCTTTCAGAATAAAAGCTGAACCATCACCACCCAGGTTTGGGTCTCGCTAGACGCCAACAAAACTGTCATGACCCGGAAGTATCTCAAGACTGGTCTGGTCGGCAACCGCTGCTTTTCCTACCGGCTTCGGTTCCAGAGAGTGTCAAGCTGGACCTCGACATTCCTGATCTAGACGGGGACTTCCGCTAAGGGTACGTAGGACGGCGAAATGGCGTCGAATGCGTTTATGAATCTCCTAACCAAAGCTTAGCGCGAAGACATCACCTTCACTCCCATCAGAACGAATCGTTTCTTCGGATTTGCTGGTTCTGAGCAACATTCCACATCACACCATTCTCCGTCTCATCCACCTTAGTTACACCATACATTTAGTGTTAAAGTTAGTCTAGTTTCATTTGTTTAGTAATAAATTTTTAAACTTTTAAACTCGACTCTCTTCTGTTGTATCTGAGTGAATACGGAGCTGTTATCTAATCCCTGCAATAAAAAGTTCCAATCTTCTGGTTTAAATAACCCAACAGATCCATAAGGTTGGTTTCCTATTTCCTATGGAATCCCACGTCTTATGGCTTATTAAATAACATGTAATTTAAATCATTACAACAACGAAAAGTTTAAAAAAAATCATTTTTAAATAAAATTTAAAAAAAGTTTCAACTGTCCCCAAAAACACTGATAAAACGTGTTTTAGTTGGCTTAGTTGGAATTAAAAGATCCTATGAGGTGCAATCCCAATGATGGTGAAATAAATAAATTAAATTAATTAATTAAATTCTAAATGATTATAAAAAATAAATCTGCGAATGGCTAATAAATCCATTTCTGCTCTCAGACTGACTTAAAAAGCGTCAACGTCTCTCATCAGTAGTTTGAACAAGCCCTTGGATATAATCTCAGGAAACGCTGTAAAATGTTTGTAGTGACCTTGAACTTGACCCTTCGGCCGCTCAGACGGACGTCTGAGCTCAGACAGTCGTTAAGGCCGCCTGCTGCAGAGACAAACATGCAGCTGTGAGGACCCACCTGCTTCCGTAAGCTCGTGATGGTCTTCTGCATGTCGGAGACAAACTCCTGAAAGTCTCCAGGCGACGGCTCGCCACTTTTTTTAGAGCTCAGAGTAACATTTGCAGGACTCTCTTCGTCTTGTTTGAGTGAACTGTAAAACAAATGCATACATATAAAAAAGATGCAAATGTAGGGTTGGAAGCCTCACTTACACCTTCGGCATGACAGGAATTTCCATTTTAAATCATTCCTCTGATTCTAACTCAGCTTGACGGCGTTGATCGCTGCTGCAGCAGACAGAGGTCCAGGACTCTCATTCCAACTTTGTGTCAACGTGGATTAAAAACAAAATCATTTTATCTCCAAGAGTGTTTATATGCAGGATTCATTTGCCTGTTCGGACATGCAAAGTGCCACTGGACCGTTTAACTTCACGGTTCAACCTCATTTCCAACTCTGCACTCTCGTTTTGGAGCAGGAAACTTTCTAAATCCACCCAGAGTTCGACTCCGAGCCCGGATTATGTCAAGACCTGCAGAAACGTTTCAATCACAAATGCTTCCATCATGTGTCTGTGCAGAAATCAACGCATCAATGCAATTATCCGGTTTAAACGTACAAAGGTTGAATCAGTTCAACAGAGCAGCGTAAAGGATTCCTCTTAACCAGGCGACATTTTCAAACCACGGACACAGAGACGACTCAGCCGAACCGTCTTCGGTTCCGTTACCTTTCCTCCTGAATGCTGTTAGCTGGCTTCTGGTCTTTGTAGCTGTGCTCAGCTGATCTTCTTCCTCTGAAGTGGTAGGACAGGGCGTTGAACTGACCCTTGGTTCTGCAGTCTGGTGGAACAAACAACAACTACTCAGCAACAGAGGGAGCGTAGAGGAAAGGGGAGCTTTGAGCCTAATTTTAAAGTACTCTGTGCAAGACTGGGACCACTGCTGAGACATTATGAAGGTTACAGCTCTGACCCAGAGTCCAGATGATGACATGAATTCTTTTAAGCTGTGGAAATGTAAATTTCCTTGCAGTCATTATGAGGGCTGCTTACCCTCGCAGCAGTCCTGCCACATGCGCAGGTCGATGCGAGGGATGTCGTTGCAGCTACCGTAGCCGTGCGGCAGCTGGGCCACTGTGAACACGTCCTGTTGGACGCGCGTGATGTTGTCCCCGTTATCGCAAAGAACCCGAGCCAGAGAGGCCTGTTTCAGCTGGGTCAACTGGGCGGGACTGAACACGCCTGGATTTTCGTACCAGAACCTAAAGACAAGAACAGACGAAGGAAACCAAAACAGTGACATCAAATATCTTCTTAAAGCTGCAATCACAAGCTAGCTAGCTCTTAACCACAAACACAGCCACAGAACGCTGACCATCACCCCCTGAGCCACGTCCGTCTGATACAGAGGAAACGAGGCAGCGCTAAACACCAGTCACCATTTTCTAGGTCCAAGCGTCTTTTGTTGCCTTCAAAAGGTGATTATCTTTTTGGGACTCTGGTAGTTTGTCCTAAAGCTGAAGCGATAGCAGCCGGCTGTTTCTCCTCCGACACTGAGCGGAGAACCTCTCACACCAGCAGTGTTCTGTTGCTGAATACGTGAGTGTGTGACGAGTGGGGGACCCGGGGCGGTGCCGTGGTTCAACGGTGCCGACGACCGGATGGTCCGGTGGTTGGTTTAGGTCCCAAACGTGTTAGTGGTGGAGGTTTTTGGACAAATGCAAGAGGTCCACTTCTTTATTTATTTAGAATCTCCACAAAATATTTTTAGCTCTACTACGTTAGAACGTCGTTAAGAAGCACGAAAAGAAGTAGAAGAAGAAGAAATCATGTCTATAGCGCCTCTCAAGATAAAAATCACGAGGCGCTTCACAAAAACAAAAAATGTAAAAATATAAAAAAGTATTTAGAAAATGTTTAAAAATATATTTAAAATGAGCAAAAAATAGACAATTGTGATAAAAAATGTTAAGAAAGAGAGAGAGTGAACAGGAAAGAGGGAAATCAGTGGATCCTGAGGAAGGTGGAATAGGTGGGGAGAGCAGAATAAAGAGAGAGAGGTGAAGAAGGTCATACAAAAGCCAGCTTGAACAAGTGAGTCTTCAGCTGCTTTTTAAAGGAGACCACTGAGTCCACTGATCTCAGGCTCAGGGGGAGAGAGTTCCAGAGTCTGGGGGCCACAGCAGCAAATGATCTGTCACCTTTGGTCTTTAGCCTGGTGCTGCCCAACCAGTAGGCTTTGATCACTGGACCTCAGGGACCTGCTGGAGGTGCAGGGACTAAGAAGATCACCAATGTAAGATGGTGCTTGTCCATGTAAGGCCCTATAGACCAGAACCAGGATCTTGAAATGAACCCTGAAGGTGACTGGCAGCCAGTGAAGCTGGAGGAGAAGCGGGGTGATGTGGGTGTGTTTGGAGGACTTGGTCAGAAGCCGAGCACAGGCGTTCTGAACCACCTGTAGACGGTTCAGGGAGGTTCTGCTCAGACACGTGAAAAGAGTGTTACAGTAGTCTAAGCGTGAGGAGATGAAGGTGTGGAGAACTGTCTCAAGTTCAGAGCGGGACAGAATGGGACTCAGCTTAGCAACGTTCCTGAGATGGAAGAAGGAAGAGCGAACAAGAGAACTGACATGAGAATCCAGGGTGAGAGCTGGGTCAAAGGTCACGCCAAGATTCCTGACAGAAGGTTTGGTGTGAGAAGCAAGCTGACCAAGAGAGTCTCTGACTTTGGGAACCAGCTTGTCTGGGGCACAGATGAGGATCTCAGTCTTATCTTCATTCAGCTGAAGAAAGCTCCCACCATCCAGGTTTTAATAGAGTCTAAGCAGGTGTGTAACAGCTGCAGCTTAGACATCTCATGGGGCTTGAAGGAGATGTACAGTTGGATGTCATTTGCATAAAGATGGTAGGAGATTCCTTTGAAGGAGCTCAGGATGTGCTGAAGAGGAAGCAGATAGAGGAGGAAGAGCAGAGGCCCCAGCACAGAACCTTGTGGGACACCATGGGTAACAGAGGTGGTGGAGGACCTAAACTTGGAGATGGCCACAGAAAAGGAGCGCTCAGAGAGATAAGAGGAGAACCACTCCAGAGCAGTTCCTGATAGAACTGCCCAGCCTCTCCAGTAGCAGGTGATGGTCAAAGTGTCAAAGGCTGCAGTCAGGTCCAGCAGGACCAGAACAGAACAGTCCCCTGCATCACTGTGAGTCAGAAGGTCATTAGAGACCCTAAGAAGAGCTGTTTCAGTAGAATGAGCTCTACGAAAACCTGAATGGAAGCTATCATAGATGTTATGTTCATCAAGAGCAGCTGTGAGTTGTTTAGCCACAACCTTTTCCAAGATCTTGGAGATGAACGGAAGTTTAGAGATGGGTCTGAAGCTGCTATGGAGAGAGGGGTCGAGACTCGGTTTTTTAAGAAGCGGGTGGATTACAGCGTTCTTAAAGTAAGCAGGGACCTGACCAGAGACCAGAGAAGCATTAATTATAGAGAGCACGCTAGGACCGATGGACTGAAAAGCACTTTTAAACAAAGATGAGGGTAAGATGTGGAGGGGGCATGCAGAGGTCTTCATAGAGTTAACTAGTTTGGTTAACTCAGGCAAAGAAACAGGAGCAAAGCTATCTAGGATGATGGGACTGGTTGGAGTCGGGAGAGGCGGCGATAAGGCTGAAGGAGACATGCTAGAGCTAACCTTATTGACTTTGTCCACAAAGAAAGACAGAAAGTTCTCACAGTCTGCAACAGAGTGGATGGAGGCTGTAGGAGAGGCAGGAGAGACGATGCTGCTGATGGTGTTAAACAGCACCTTGGGGTTCCCTTTGCTCTGGGACACCAGGTTGGAGAAATAGGAAACCCTGGCGTCTCTGACTGCAGAGTTAAAGGATGTCAGAAGATCCTTTAGGTGCAGCAGATGGACGTGGAGATGGGTTTTCTTCCACAAACGCTCAATTTTTCTGCACTGGTGCTTCAGGCTGCGAAGGCTGTCATTAAACCAGGGAGTAGGGTTCACTGCAGGAACTGATCTGGTTCTGACAGGACAGATGTTGTCCAGGATGGAGAGGCAGTGCTCGTTAAACTGAGAAGTTAAGGAATCTGGGTCGTTATCAGAAGAACAGGGTGGATCAAAAGCAGCAGAAAAGTTGCTATCTGTGCTCTCATTAAGAAAACGAGAACTAACCATACGGCGAGCAGGAGGTGAGGACGCAGAAACTGACAAGTTAAAGAAAATGCAATGGTGATCTGAAATATAAACGTCCTCAGGACAAACACTGTCAGCATTTAGACTCAGGGTAACAACGAGGTCCAGAGTGTGTCCCCTGGTGTGTGTGGGGCCAGAAGCATGCTGGGTAAAGCTGAAAGTGTTTTAAGATGGCTCGCTTTGCCGTTGTAGCGTTACGTTTAGCATGTTTAGGATTCCACGTACCTGTCGCCGTCTCGCACACGTTTGAACTGCAATGCCAGCAGACACATGAGGGTGGGCCCCAGTCTGCTGCCAGGGACCAGGTCCTCAGCCATCAGGGATGGGAACAGGTCAAGGTTCAGAGGAGTGCCGTACAGTCTGCCGCCAAAGGGGAAACATTTCAACGACAAAATAAACGGTCAGTTGTGGCAAATCCAACGAAAACACAGCTCCATCTCTTAAACATTGCTCTTCAGCCAGTTTCCTCAACCCGTCTGTAGATTTTACATTTACCGTCGCAGCTTCTCTCTGACATCAGGATTCCTGATTTCGTTCCTCAGGTCATCGAACGTCTGAGCGGAGGTCAGGTTACAGAAGGTCCTGTAGTCGTTGTATGGTGGGATACCGTGGTCCCTTCCTCTCTGAATATTCATGGCAGC